CATCAATTTTACATGATGATCGAAATTTCGCTGGTGGTGGCCAAAAAACATGTCCATTACTATCGACCATAGCTTTACTTTGATAATAACCTTGTGTATAATCATCAGCTGAATTATATAAAACAATATCTGGTAACCAAATTTTTGAACATGGTAAACGAAGAGTTACTAAACCATTAAAATCGGATGCATTCCATACTAAACGTTCATCATACCATTCCTATATATATATAAGAATTTTTTTTATTAACAAAAAAAAAAAAAAAAAATTAAATTTCTTAAGAAATTTGAACTAGCCTGTTCAAGCCATATATTTGTAGTTAATACTTGATTTTTTTCATCCTTAAATAGAAATATTAATTATTTATTCAATATGAAATTCTAATTAGTAATTTGATTATTTATTCATATATTTTGTTTTTGTTTAATGTACTCTTTGAAAACATTCGAAACAAAATAAGATTTAATTAAATATAAGCAGGATTAGATTTCATATGAGAAAAGGTAGTCAATTTATTATTACAATAGTGTCTAATTCAGAGATGTTTTGTTTTTCTTTGATATATAAAAAATGTTTTTTTTTTTTTTTTTTTTTTTTTATCATCTTAAATGAATATATTCTTCTTCTTTATATTTTATTTGCATAATCTTTGAATAGATTCGTCAAGTTCCAACTGATCGGTTTATTAATCAGTATGTTTTATGATGACATACCATATCGCTTAGTTGAGCCAAAGCAATGCCAAAAGCAACATTGACTGTATTTGATGCATTATATACAGGTCTTGCTGATGGATCATAATTTCTTAATAATTGTGCCATTAAACGTTGTTCATCAGGAATTGAATCCGAATCATTGAGAGCTATATGATAATATGGATGATTATAATAATTTATCATAGATGGAGAATGTTGTTGGGTATTTGAAGAAAATGTTGAATGATCTTTATTAGGCATTTTTAAACTGGTAAAAACAAGTTGACAAGAAAACTTAGAAAAACTTATTGAGATTAAAAATATGACGAATATTAACATGGTATTTTTGAGTAATATACTAGTCACTTATTTGTTCCTTGTTGACATTATTAATGTAGGAAGGAAATAGATATTTTTGCTCTTATAAAGAGAGAAACAAAAAAAATCAGCTATCATGAAAGAGAATGTAAAGAAACATAGAGAGAACAATGCCTTTTTTTCCTGTTCGTTTGAAAAAGAGATTAATGCAAAAAAAAAAAAAAAAAAGAAATCATCACAATTATTACTATAAACTACAAGTTAATGGTTCTCATGAGAAACATCAAGATAAACATAGATATTATGATTATATCTTTGTATAAGAATAATCGATCAAACATAACAACACTTTATATGATAATATTTCCAAAAGAAAAATAATCTACTACATAAATACATTTACTTTTTTATTCACTATTCTAAGGTAAACGTGAATAATAATTTATATGTATATATATATATATATTCTATTATAATGAGAACGAACAGTGACACACACTTACCGTAATCATACCAAGCATTCATGTCCTGAGGGAACCATGAATTACCCCAAAAATTTTGTTGATTTCCAGCAGACACGCCATATCCGCCAGAAGATCCAGTACCAAGCGAACGTTGTGATGAATAATGGCCACCACCAGATTTACAATTGGCTTTATTGAAAAGCTCGAATAAAATTGTTATAAGAATAAAAACAATAAATGATGCTTGTCGTACCATGTTAAAGAATCGACGAGCATTTCTTTTGATAAACGGAATAAGAAAAATATATTCTTTATATCTAAAAAGAAAATCAACAAATCTTGATAAAAATCTATTCTTAAGGCTATCATTTTTACTTCTTCTAATTTATATTTTCACGGTTAAAATGATATTATTAATAGTAATCTGAAACATTATTAAATAGAATCCACCTTGTTTTGTTTTGTTTAGTATATTATTATTTAATATTAAATGTTTCTTTTTTTGTTTTAGAAAATCTTCTATATCTTACTAAATAGTCTATCAAAAAATTCTTGCCAATGCATAGTTGTTGATGATCATGGGCTTGTCATTTTCTATCCTATGGTAATTCGAAAATAAGGAATAAAAAAATAAATGAAGATGAAATTATGTGGAAGATTTTCTTCCTCTACTACATTTATAGACGAATCGTGATCATTCAAATACCCTAAAGGCAATATGAGATACAATGTCGCTTATTAGAATTTCTTTATATATATGCTTATATATATATATATATGTATTATATAAATATATAAATCGATTTTTAAAAAATAAATCGTTTGCTTACCGAGAAAAATCCTTTGATCTTTACGTTTGTTTTGATACAGATGATAAAAAAAAAAAAAGAAAATATCTTATTGAAATACCACATAGAAAATAAGTATAAATTGAGAATTATGTTGTTGTCGTTTTCTAGTTCTATATTTTCTCTACTCTTTCTCTCTTCGTTTTTTCTTCTCTCTCTCTCTCTACAAATACGACTAATTTGTCATTCCAACTGACAACGACAAGCGGCAACCAGAGACCAAACCGAATATAATTTGTTCATGAAGAAGGAACAGCTTAGTTTCTTCGATTTAATATCATCGTTGATGAAACGGAAGACATTTCCCATTTGTATTGTCTAAAGAAGATAAAAATCATTGAACTTGATTATGTTTACTTGTCTTACAAAAGTTATTTATAGCATTTACAATAAATAAATGAAATATGTATTTTATTAATTTCAATGAGATTAAAAAGTAAACATAAGAAGAAGAAAAAAAAAAAATGAAAATCCATACATGAATTATCTTGTTTATTTACTTTTAAAATCATTCACATACTTTTATAGAACCAACATCAAATAATTCCTTATTATCATATTGTTTATTTTTAATGAATTGTGAACGAACAATTAAGGATTTTTTGCAGATGCTACGAAGATTAATTTTTAACAAATTTTCTTACACATTCTTCTCACAAAAAAAATGATCACGCAATGCACCATTAGGATTACACTTAATGACAAAATCTATTTCAAGAAATAGTACATAACTATAAATTTAATATATCTCTATTGTTTTCAACCAATTAAATATCTATTAAAAGCATTTTTATTTTTGTAAGAATTATTTTATTTTGATATTAAACAAATAAATGTATCCAGAAGTTATCTACTGAGTTACGATCTATTGTATAACATCATTTAAAAAAAAATCATATTTAACGTTATTTCTCATGTACGTTCATAAGACGAAAGTTTTTAGCTGAGATAGACAAATTAACGATTCTTTGACTCAAATTAAAGCAAAATAATGAATTATTTCTATAGAAAAGAATAATCATACCAGCTATGTTGAAAAAAGATTTCAACCATCTATCACTTCGAACATGCAAAGGTAAAGCTGTTGAATAGAAAAAAATTTTAATTGACTATGAATTTTTTTTTTTTTGTAATATGAATAAACAATCGTCGTTCGACAATTCGTCATGCTAAATTTAATGTCAATGATTTTCATGAAACTAATAAATAACTAGTCGTTCTACAATTGACATCGACAAACTCAATTTAACAAAATGAATCATTGACAACAGTCAAAGACAACTTGACCCGTTGAGAATAATTTGTAATTATATATTGAACATTATGTTGAACAATTTGTTTCTTTCTGTGGAAATGATTTGTAATTTCGTTTATATGTTTTTCTAGAAAAATGATTTCAAATTGATATAATCATATTTCTAAAGCTTGTTGAGAATATTCTTGGATATGTAAGATTATCTAGTCTTTTCTTTTTTGCTTTATTACATTGTAAATTTTAAAAGAAATTATAATGAGTAGTAATTCTAGGTAGCATTAAACTTGATGAATAAGACATAATAGTTATTAATGAAGTGATTGAACCTATTACTTGTATTTTCGATGTCATCTTGAGATGAAGACAAGTTGTTGAAAGAATTATTTTCTTGATTCATATTAAAATAAACTATAATTGATTAGAATATGTACTTATTTTATTATTATAATACAAAGAAATAAAATCAATATATTTTCATTAAATAAGTCATTGAAAAATGAAGATGATCAATTAAATTGAAAAAGATTTTTCTATATATTTTCAAATCATTGATTTTATTTCAATGTCAAATTACTTGATGAAAATATTTATAATATTCGATTTCTATTTTTGAAATTAAATTAGAAACTAAAAATGAACTGCACAAAACATCTAGAATTTTGTCTAGATAATTGAATTGAAAATACCTTCTTACAATCGAATCAATATTGTTTTCAAGTACAAGAATATTAATTTTACTTTTCTGATCTTGCTGTAAATATATATATCTAAGATGGTAATCTCAGTTGTAGTTTATTTCTGTATACGTCTTTAGATATTCAAACTCTTTGTAACAATCATAATGACTATATGTAGAATAGCAACAAGAGACGAAAAATCGTCCGATGAAAAATCCTATAGATTATGAAGAAAAACGGAAGATCAATAAAACAAGTTTAAAGAAAAAAGATTAGAAGGAAAGGAATATGTCCATCATATATACATTCATAACAGAAAAGGAAAATTCATGACTCATGACTAACAACAAGAGAAAAATAGAAGAATTTAAATATATGAGTATAATCATATAAATAACGAGAAAACTCTTATGATCTCATCTGAATAAGATGTGGGTCATAAGAATAAAGATGTCAGCAGTCAAAGGTAGATCAAGTGAAGAAATTCAACAAAACTGCATTTTTTTTTATCTTCTAAGTAGATGATGTATTTCATACATGAAATATGATATGTATTGATTAATGATAACAGGAGTGCAGTTTTATCAACCATCTACAGATTCTCTCCAGTATTTCAGCTGGCTGTTGCATATCTATGAAATAAATACTTTTACTGACAACTGAATAATTGTTAATGTTGGATTTAGATTATTACAATATCGATAATATAATTATTGTTCGAATAGATTACTTAAATGATGATGAAGTTCACTAAAATATGTCGAAAAAAAATCGTTGAGCGCACCTATTATATGGAATCATGCCGATCTTTTTTCAATTTGAATAGTTTTTACTAGATTGATTTACCCATTTGTAAATAAAATCTTCTCTGTATATCTCACAGCTTTATACGATACGAAAGTAAAAAAATTGTTGTATTCAACGTTGAATGAAAGAATAAAAGAAATCTTGAAATGCATGTATTTTGATGATGGTTCATCGAATAAGAGAATATACAATGATTGTAGTTCAATAGAAGAGAAAAAAAAAGAGAATCAGACATTGGTGCATAAATTTTACGTTGAGAATTATTAAAGAAAATATTGATCTTTCTTGTCAAACGTCGTGTTGACTTCATAAACCTGAAATATCTCTATATTGGTTCGCTTCAATAGGCTAAATTTTTGGTTAGTAATAAAAACTTATTTAAAATTTTTTTTTTCATATGAATGAATAAGCAAATGATAGAATTATGCATTATTGTTAGTATCATAAAGGCAATTTTACTTGTTATCAAATAAGAAAAATATGCATATGTCGTCTTATAGATAATTTTCAGTTGTCATCTAAGAAAATAATACGAAAAAATGAAAATAAGTGTTATGAATGATACTAAATTGATATAGAAAGAGCAAATTTTTACAATTAATAGTCAATTTTTTAAATGCTGAAATTCGTATTCCATAAGTAAAATATATGGTTGCAGTTATTTAAATATAAACTTCCTTGCAAAACCCATTGTTTCATGTTTGAAAATTCAAAATTTTGAAATCGTTGATTTTTAATTAACTAGTTATGAAAATCTATTCCGTATATGTCATGATCATTGATCACGATACAGCTTCAGTTAGATCGCTTGTTCTGTCTTGCCTGTTCTTATGATACGTTACTGTATTTTTTGGTTCTTTCTTTCTGTCTTCATCTCTCTTCTCTCTCTCGAAGAAAAAAAAACCATCATCGGTATATCACTGTATGCAAGGGAAACGAGATGTTTTCGAAGATCGATATACGTATATGGTGTGCCTTTATTATTTGTGTATTTTGTTCTTTTTATTAATTTTCTTTTGGAATAAAATGAGTTATATATCAATATAACGACTAATGAGAGAACTAATAAAAATATGCATCAATAGAGTATCATTCATACATTTCGTTAGGATTTCTTCTTATCATTCTTTTAGATACGAACTGAAAATTATCTATAAAACGCTACACTTGTTTTTTTCTTAGTTGATAGCAGGTAAAATTGTTTTCATGATACTGACAATAATACATGATAATATTATTTGCTTATCTCATTATTATGAAAAGAAAACGTTAGATAAACTATTACCTCGAACCAAGAAACTAATCCATTTGATTGAACTGACACGAAGATACTTCAAGTTTTTATCGTACGGTTATTTATAACCTAGTCTATAAATTGCTCTTGAAAATATAACGAATTTTGTAATAAGTCTGATTAAAAAAAACTCAAATAACTTCTGACACCGTCGCATTAGGATGACAGTCAACTTCTTGGGATTTTTTTTTTATTTTTCACTAATGCCGTTATTAATCTTAAAGATATTTGGTTAAGAATGAAAGAAGTCGAGAATTATAGATTTCTTTAGCAACTATGCCGCTGTCGATAGTAGGTAGCAAGAGAGTACAAGAGGACTTTGTTGGAAATATAACTAGATGGAGTTTAATAAGTCTTCATTGTTTAAAAGTTTGG